CAGCTGGGCTGCAGCACTGAGATTAGGCTGGGGGGGGGGGTTGGGAGCTCTATTGTACAAGGACCCAGGGAGGGGATTGATGTTTATTTCCAAACATTCAAAGTGACAACAAATTCCAAAGGGGCCAGTAATTGCTATAACCTTGAATTATCCAGATGCTGAGCTGCCTGGGTCCCACTTCCTCCTTTGTGTGTCGTGATTCATCCGTCAGGGCTCCCCACTGAGGACAGCCCTGGCTCAATGAAACAATTGAAGGGTGGGGAAGAAAAAAAAAAGAGAGAATTTAACATCTTCTGACTTTGAAGTTGAGTTTAATCCTGTTAAAAGGCCAGTGCCTGAATTGCAGGCTCTGATATGCGCCTGGCAAAATTTTCCGTGTGGTTGAAAGCAGTAACAAATGGCGTGGGCAGGTGGGTGGGACGTGTGTGTACACACAGTTACACAGTTGTGTGTACTCTGCGGCAAAGGTTTGAAACGGTGGCTGTAGCAATGAAAGCAGGTCTTATGCAATGTACCTTACTGTCAGATAAATGTTTCTCAGCACAAGTTGCACAGTGCTGGGTTTTGCCAGACTATTATTACAGTAGCAGCTTGCTCTTGGGTCACTGACTTGAGCACGTTTTATTTGTTAAAGCTCCGAAGATGGTAATTCACTGTAAACACATCCACCTTCTGATAGTGGTACGCAGTGATGCCTGGGAGGCGCAGCACGTCCCAGCCATGAGTTGGCTGGGCTGATTTAGTTGGGGATGATTCTGCCTTGAGCAGGGAGCTAGATTAGGTGGCTTCATGAGGTCCCTTCCAGCCTTGCTTTCCTGTGATCAAGCCTCCCTGTCCCAGGGGCTGTACAAACTGATAGCAAAGGTAGTCCGTACTCTCCCCCCCGCCCTCCCCCCAGAAAAAAAAGTTTCTATTCTTAAATGCAAGCAGATTGGGATGGGAAGGAAGGGACATGGGGACATGGGTGTGATTTCTTATGACTAGATGGGGCCTTTTGTATTCCTGGGAGCACTTGAGAAGTTTATATGTCTAACAGGCAGCTTGCTTTGTGAATTTTTTTTTCCACTGAGTGGGAGTTAAAAATGCTGCTTTACAAGGCATCCTTTTCTTTCTGACAGGGTGTCAAGGGCCAGAGTCTTCCCTGTTGGAAGCAGGTGTCACTCCATGGCCATCAAGGCAACTTTGTCAGTTTGACCTTGAGTTTATTCTCCAGGCCTAGATACTGTTAATAACTGAATTGCCTTTAGCCAAAGGCTCCTGTTCCCCTTGGCTCAGTGTCCCCCCTTTCCCCGTCACCATGCAGCCTCTGGAGTAAGACTTATTCATGGTGCACTCTCTTGTCCAGCCGTTGGCTCACAAAGTTTACCTGCATGTTTAGCTGTTGCTTGCAGTTCAAGGCTCAGCTGGCTCTGAGCTGGACTCTCCAGGGACCTCCCCTGTGTCATGCAGTCCACCTGGGGCAGTTGTGTGGGAGGACCCCCTGATGTCACAGAGAAGGGAGGCTGGGTTTGAAATGCCCCTTGGTCCCACCAGTCTGGCACTGTGAACTTTCTTGACTTGCCATTGCCTCCCACACCCTGTTGGTGGGATGCAATAGAAGGGGCAGCCTCCTAATTGCAGTTGGGCTTTTTACAACAAGTACCATATGCACCATGTTTTATGGCTGTAAATACAGGGAGCTTGGACAGATACTTAAAAAACAAAATCCCAGAGCCCAAAAGGGGCTGGGTGGTGCCAGCAGGTGTCAGAGGTGAGGATCACAATGCAAACCTTTCCCCACCACCTCCTCAGGTCTGAGGCAAAGCTCCAGGTGCGTATCCTCCTGGGGGGAATCCAGTGACTAGACGGGCCGGGAAACAATGTGCTCCGGGGCAGACATTGCTGTGGATCGGTGCTATGCTGCTGGGCGTGTGAGAGCAGCACGTACTCTGCTGAGCAACAACCTTTGGGGAAGCGGGGTAGCATGGCAGAGAGGGTACAAGGTGCCAGGCTGCCACTGGGCAGGGGGAAGGGAAGGCTGCAGAGCCCTTCGGGAGGTGGTAGCCCAATCTGAGCTGGGGCTCCTGGTGCCAGGGCAGCGCTGGGTACAGGCTGTATGGGCCAGGCCTCCTCTCCAAGGGCACTTTGTGCCCTGCTCCTGCTAGCAGGCAGAGAAGCTCCCCATGGAGCAGCCCCTCATAGATACCCGGAGCAGCTCTGATTGCAGGGTGGGGAGCTGTCACAACAGCCATCCATCTTGGAGCCTGCAGCGTTCGCCCTCCGGCACCGCTAGCTCATTAGCATGTGTACAGAGGGCTCTGGGCGGCCTCTCGCCCACTGCCTTGTCACTTCTGAAGCCTTGTTCCCTCCTGTCTGAGGGGACCATGTGAGGTGATAATTTAGCTGAGAGCCCCTGCCGGCTCATGCTCCTTGCTCTACGCAGGCTGGTCCTTGGTCTCCATAGGATACCAGCCTGGCTGTGTGGCATCTCGGGCTGACACCCTCCTGAGCAGAAAAACTAGACACTATTATGCTGGTTTATAGCCCCCTCCTTGTACCCTCTAATGGCCCCACAGTCATCAGGAGCACAATGCACTCTGCAGGCGCCTTCCCCCTGCACATCCGAGGGCATGGCCCAGGCCCAGGCCCAGGAGGACTGGCAGGGGGGAGAAGCGGGGAGGGTGTTACCTGCCTTCCCAGGTGCTGGGCACAGTGTGGGCTCACGCCCTTTGGATGGCAAGCTGCCCTGTCAGCTGCCAGCTTCTGGGTTCAGCACTGTTAGGGCAAACCCCTCCTAGACAGCAGCTCCTGGGGGCTGCTCAGCAGGGTGGCTTCTGGCCTGCTATATGTTTGCAGCTTCACAAGCTGCACTCTGCGTTGCAAAGCTGGGATGAGCTGCAGGCAGTGCCCCCCCTCCTCCTCGCTTGGGGCTGTGAGTGCCACCATTCCTGACCTGCCTGCTTCCCCCCACCTGCAGCTTGGAGCCTGCCCTGACTTTCAAGCAGGACCAGCCTCTGGAGTGGTTGGAGCAGGGGGTGTTGCTGGGAGAAGCACCAGGGAGAGGGCCCTGCAAATGCTGGTGATGGTGCCTGATCGTTGAGCCAGCTGGGAGTCAGCAGGGCAGTGTCGATGCCCATTTTCATGGCTGGGGGATGAGGCCAGCCATGCTGCACAGCCAGAGCTTGCTGTTTCCAGTTACCCTTTGCTCCCCATTAACTTTTCTGCCCCCCCCTTTTTGGTCTGTTGTCACTTGGTATTCCTGGCTGAGTCACCAGAGTGGAAACAGATCACCGACTCTATGCTATGCAGCCGTGGGCAATAACCAAATGCTGCCTCTTCAAGCGCAGCACAGATTGAAGTGTCTGCTTAGCTCAGCCTTGCCAGTCTGAGTCAGCATGGCTGAAGTGTGAAAAGCAATGGGATAAGAGAGGGTGGTGAACCTAAATCACTGTCTTGTGCAACACTCACTTAGTTGCTGTTTCCGGGATGCACGGCACCGCTACGTACTTTCATCACTTTGTTTCCTCATCCCAGCTCTGTTTCATCATGCTTCTCTCTTCCCTTACTTCCTCCATGATATTCAACTTAGTGATTGTTCAGATTTTATATGTAGCACAGGATGGGCTTGTGGCCCTCTGAGGACTCAGATAAGCAAGAAATATCACTTTTCCATCCCCCACCCACTGCACGATTCTGTGTGGGACTAACATTGTCAATTCAAAACAGTTTTTACTTCTTTTAGTGTTGCTCTGGTTTTTCTCATAAGAAATGTAGCTGAACTGTTTTCAGAGGACTTCAGCCCATTTCTCTACCTAGTCTTTGGTTGTTTTCAGATGGCTTTTTCTTGCCCTTTTAGTTTTGGTTAAGATCGGGCATAGCATTTACCATGTGATGCACCCTCCTGGATCAAATCCAGTCACATGTGGGTAATGGGGTTTTCTCTGTAATTAATGGCTGTGGCCCTGATGTGGGAGATGAATAAGGCTGTCTCAGTTGTGAGTTCCCCTCCTGCTTTTCACAGCCTTCTCAGCCCATCACTGGTGAATGTACTGCCCAGTTGGAATTTTTTTCCAAGGTCTCTTCTGCTTATAGGTCTTTTCACGATGATGGGAGAGGGGGGCAGGGAGGGGTTATCCCTGGATTCTTAATTCTGGGATCATCTGTGTGTTTTGGAAATGATGGGATTGAGGATACAGAGTTGGAATAACAAGGCGGAATGGGTGCAAGTTGGACAATTAACTGCCTGGTGTCTCTGCTTCTTGGGGAGGTCCCCAGTGAGTGGACGCTGAGGTGCTTAAAGGGAGGGGGCGCAGGTGCTGACTCTGCATTTCTTGCACAAGTAATTCCCTTTCCAGCTAACTGATCCTACAGGCCTCGCCACATGGCTCAGTAGCTGCATTTGGAAAAACACTTCTCTAAGGGCTGCAAGATATAGCATGTCTCTGAGCAGGGTTTGAGCTGGCCCTGCTTGCTGGAGGAGATTGCTCAGGTGGGATCCTCCTTGCTATAGCTTGTTGGTCAGAGCGTGAAGCTGGTTTCTCTCACCCTGTGCAGTGCGGTACAGCAGATACATTGCTGTGGGATGGGCAGGGCATGGGGTGTTGAACTGTGTTCCTTTGGGAAGTGTAATGTATCCGGCTCCATTATGCTGTTTTTTCTCTCCTTAGGGAGGACTTCTATTCCCAGCTTAGAGGAAGAAATTGACTTCTTAGCCGATGTGCTGTCCCGGCAAGATGCCACTTACCAGCATCTGCAACAGGACAGTAAGTCCAGGAGAAGCCTCCTGCTCCTCTTAGCCAATGTGCTAGGCCACTTCTGTGCAGCTGTGCTGTACCTCAGGGTCAGGAATTTGGGGGTCAGAGGTCCTCGTGTTCAGTCGAGACACTTGTGACCGATCTCTCCGGTGTCCTCACAAAGGCTTCCAGGGGTAGGAAGGAAATAAACTTGGGCCCTCTGAAGAGTTCTGCTCCCAAGCCTGACTGTCCCAGTGGCTGTTTTGAGAGGTTGGCACGTGCGTGCTACATTAATGACTTTCCAATCCAGCATTGTTTGGCATTTCCTTGGTGGCAGATGTGTCAAGAAATCAGTGACTGGACCATTCACCACTGTGGGAACATCTGTCATTCTGGTTTCTGATGAAGGTCCCAAATTGAGTAAGACCAGAGCCAAGGGCTGAGTGAGCACTTCCCTTCGTCAAGCAACAAACAGCGTCCTGCTTTTTGGGCACGTTGTAGCGGCTAGTGGCTTGTGGTTAAAATAGGGAACCAGGAACCAGGGACACTTGGGTTCTATTCCTGGCTCTGCTACCAGTTACAAAGCTTGAGGGAGCCCCTTTCTCAAGCTTCATGACTGGCAGCAGAGCCAGGAATAGACCCCCGGTGTCTCAGTTTCTGTCATGGTAAGACAAATGGCTCTGCCTTGAGTTTCTTCAATAACAGATGATTCTCTAGACGCACACACTGTTTGACTGGAGGGAAGGGGAGCTGGGGGGCTGTTTTCTGCTAAGAGGAGCTGGAATATTCTTATTTCTCCCTGCTCCATCCCACGACCTGGAATTTCTTGGCATTTATCCTCCTTTTTGGATGAACCAGAGGCACATGAGCTGCTGATGGTTTTTTTGGGTGGAGAAGGGTGTGTTTGGCTTTGCACATCTTCTCCAAGGGATTTGCTGTCCAATTAAGGCCTGCCCCTGGACTACAGGAACAGCCAAAATCTGGCTCATGGGCTGGATTGCACCTGAAATGGACTTCATTTCCTAGCCGCCCCGCCTGTGTCACTGTGGCCAGCTTCCATGGACACCCCAAGAGCAGCAGGGTTGTGACAGCACAGAGCCAGGCTTTCCATGGAGACTGGCCCCAGCGGTACTGGCAGCGGTACCGTGATCTGCTGCCTGCATGCCCTGGGCAGGGGAGTGCAGGTAGCAGATCATAGCTCTGTCCCAGCTCTGGACCATGCTGTCACCCCTCCAAGATCCTAGCCTCGGAGCAGCTTCCCTCCCAGCCCTGCACCCTGCCAGTGCTGCTGGGGCCCTGGCCCTGTGCTGCTGGGGTCTCCATGGAAACCGGCCACAGTGATGCTGGCAGGGGTTGCTGGGAAATGGAGTCTGGACAGATCCACCATTTTGCCTACCCCTGCTGTAGTCCGTACGCAAGACCCAAGCTCACCCAAGGGCCGGAGGAATTAGCAGCTCCAAAATGGATTGTTTTATCGGCTTTCCAGTGGCTGCATCCTGGATTTATAGCACCCTCCCAACTGGAAAGATGGTGTCATTTAATGCACTGGATATCAATGAGAATAACCCGCACTAAGTATCTTCAGCAGGGAGCTCTGTTCTTTTTCTTCTCCTCTTCAGACATCTGTTGGCTTCCTTCCCCATGTTAGTAGGCCCACCCTGTCTCTGCTGATACCTCTGTTCTCTCCTCTCTTCCACAGCAACGCCAGCCCCTGCAAGGAAGCTGCCTGAGGCCAGTGTGCTCAGAGGGGAGCCCTTGGAGAAGGACGCAACAGGCCACAAGGCACCATCTCATCCCACTGCTTCCACCAAGCCAGTACAGAGCGCTCCAGTTGAGGCATCCCCTGTCCCTTCCAGTGACATCCTGATACTTGGTAGGCCCTGACTCTCTGGAATTAGAAGTCAGAAATAGGCCCAATCCAGGCTTGGATGGTGAAGGAAAAGGTTAAGCAACTGGTGCCTTGATCTCTGTCTATGGTGGGCCAGCAAGTCTGGCTCGGGACCGGCATTCTACAGCCCATGCTGAAGACTTGCTGGAAATTTAATACATGTTGCAGTACAGCAGGATTTTTCCCCTTCAGCAGGGATGTCAAAGGTGCAGCACACAGAGCCCCAGTGCTGGCCCTGGGTCTTGTGTGGACCCACATGTGGTATGCCATGTGCACAAGACCACCTCATATACAGGACCTAGGATATGCCTCACATGGTACATGCTCCAGGACCCACACTACATGCAGCAGCCACTCAGGGCCAGTCCAGGCCCCCTGCACCCCATCACTGTGTGCTGGGATCCAGTGCCCATGGCACCTGCTTTGGCCAGTCCAGGACATGAGCCACATGCGATACCTGCTGTAGCTAGTCTGGGGTGGATGCTGCATGCATCAGGGGATCTGTAATGTGCACAAGTGCAGCACACCCCTGGACCAGCCAGAGAGTGCAATGGGTCCAGCATGCGGGGGGGGGGGGGGGGGGGTTTGGGGCGGTGGGGGGGACGCGGGGGGGGGGGCGTAGGGGTG